CGAAGCCACGAACGCCCGGTGCATGCGACAAGCCGCGTGGTAACAGTAGTACGGAGTATGGACTACGGAAGACCGAACCACCGAACAATTGATTGTGCTATAACACAAAATAAATTATACTGCTGGCTATACTGATATGTAGATGGATCATTGCATGGCTAAATAACTTATTTAGCCATGGATCATTGGTAGTGCAGGGGAAGAACTGTATCGGCCGCTATAGCTCACATACCAGGGTGGCCAATTTTGGTACAGCGGCGGCAAGAAACTTGAACAGAATAATATATTATATGAGATGAGTACAGTTTGGCCACCAAGATAATCTGTGTTATTAATTAGTTACTAAAATAAAGATGAGTAGGGATAAATTTTGAAAAGATATATAATATATATATTATATATATCAAAACAATAGTACTCACATAGAATCGAGATTACTCAAGAATAAGTAATTATCTTAATTGGTAAACAATCTGTTTACAATATTTTGACGGAAACGAAGACCGGCCACAAGTTCCGGATTTTGCCTACTTTGTGACATTTCTTCATTGTCAACTGCCTGGTAAATTCCAAAATCATTATCCTCGACATCGTCATCAATTAATGGTATGTTTTCTTTAATACACAAATTGTGTAAAACAACACATGCCAACACTATTTTTGAAGCCTTGCTCGGTGAATAATGCAGTGTTCGATCTTTGAGAAGACAGCTTCAATAGATAAATTATTAAACAAAAATATTTGGTTATAATTATTATAAATCTAAGTTTTTGAAGTGGTGTCAATGGGCTCCTTCTTCATGCACGATATTCATGCGTTGTAACTTATTGTTCAGACATTTTTACTTATTGTATTATGTATACAGATTGTAATATTTTCTTAATAAAAAAAAAAAAAATCTAAGTTCTGATAAGATTAATGAGTGTATATAATATATATTGTGTAGGTGCAGCCATTGGTTTTATAATATATTATATATTATAAAATCAATGGTATAGCTTACCGAAAACGCATTTTTAAAACTCCATTACAGCGTTCAATAGTAGACCTTGCACGGCAAAAAACTTCATTGAACCGGTATTCCGGTGTATTAACTTCGACATTTAAAAACGGTGTTAACAACCATGGTCGTAAAGCATACCCAGAGTCTCCTTCAGTTAATTTTAGAAAATTGTCGTATTAAAAATATTTAGGTACAAACAATATTGACATTAGATCAATTTTTTAGGTTGTGCAATTTTTACCTAACAAAAAATATGAAGTAAAACCTCTATCATGCAAGCTTGTCATAAATGTTTTCACTTGACTTTCATTCCAAATGTGAGAATCATGAGTGGACCCTGGCCATCTGGCTGACACATTTAAAATGCGTAAATTTACATCACATATCTACAAAAATCAATAGTTGTTCATACAAATTAATATTTTGGTGTAGACAAAACGTGTAAAAATGCATAATTTAACGTAATCCTACTTAACTAAATTATTAATATATATCTTATTATAATTTTAATAATACTAACGAGTTGAGTATTAATTGAATGATATCCTTTACGATTGACGTAGATATGTTCTGGATATAACTCATCATTTTTCTTTGGTGGTGTTATTGCAATATGTGTACAATCAATAACACCGACAACTCCCTGTAAACCATACTTGGAAAAAAATCTAAGAAATGGATATCTATTGTAATGAAAAATCAATAATTTA